ATTCTTAAGTTCAGCCTGCTTCTGACTTTTCAGCAGTAAGCGTACATTTCTTTTATAGTTAGGAAAGAATAAAACAAGCAACAAAAAGGAAACTGTAACGGGTTCACTTGATGTTTTGACTATACCCTTGTGGCTTTGATACTTACATGTTTTTTCTTTTTCTGAGTCTTCTTTTTCCCTAAACTTCTCCTACCTGATCTCTCCTCCCTGATCTCATCTTCTCTGAATCACTTCTATAGAAGCCGCTCTTCCTGCGGATGGGCAGAATCACAGCCCTTGAAACAGGAGTCCCCTRTATTTCTCCTTTGCTAGTAAAGCAATAAACCTCCTTTTTCCTTTTTCTAAAAACCATGTTGGGACAARGACCAAGCTTTCAGCAACAAAAGGATTCAGAATATTTTGGGATTCAAGATTTTTTTCTGCTTGTTGGGCTGTGTTTTCACATACAAGACTATGGGCATTTAGTGGATCCCAACTAATCCCGTAGCGGGCAGAGGGCCTATCTCAGCCCGAAGCGGGGCAGGCGGGCAGGCGGGAACACTGGATGGGCTCAGAGTGGGGACAAAACTGAAGAACAACTACGGAGGGGAAGGGCGTGGGAAGGAGCTGGGAGCCCTCTCTGCAGGCACCCCAAATCCTCCCAGTGTGGAAGAGACCCYGCCTCACTCCCAGGGAGCACCCAGACCTCCAAAGACAGAGTCCTCGGAGCCTGGACTCAGCTGCCTGGAGGCCCCACAGCCTAGCGCACACGGCTCAAAGACCAGGGAAGGCTCAGCAACCCTCCAGCCTTGGTTTCCTTCCTATAGCAGGTTCCAGTAGATGTGCCTGGTCCATTTGCTGGGAGGAGGAGATGAAATGAAAGCGGGCRTGTGAAGCCCTGGGTCCAGGGCCCGTGCCAAGTTCACGTAAGATGTTCCTGACTGCTTCAGGGCTGGGGTGTGGCTCAGCGGGAGAGCACCCAAGTGGAGGTGCTGGGTTCAATCCCCAGCACACGAGAGATGAAACAAACGTAACTTTAAAACAAAGGCAAGGACTGGGATTCTATGACTGTGTCAAAATATTTATGTCCCTTTAGGCCAGTGGTGAGGCTTTTTAAATCAGGGTATTCTTTGCAGGAAGAATTTAGTGACTATCTGGTACAGAATAGTATATAAAAATACACGGACACTCTGGCAAGAGAAGCAGGAGTGAACTTTCTGTCTCGAACAACTCGTGTTCACAAGTCTGCTTGTCACTTCTCCAGAGTTCTGGGTAGACAGCACAGTGGCTGTGGCCACTGCCCCCGCCACAGAAGAGTGGCTTGTTCTCCTGTGTCAAGTGTTGCTTGTGTGTGTGGAGGTGGGTGTCTTGAGTTGGAGCTACAGCAGCAGCAGTAACCCCTGAACTCAGGGGTGTGCCTGTGGGTCTCAGCATCCTGGGACACCTCTTCTCATCCCGAGCCCCTGGGGGCCATGTTGACTGCACCATACCCTTATCTCCAGAGACTGGTTGGTTTTAAAATCGCGGATGTGCAAAATAATTCCTGGAATTGTGATGAGGAGCTCTGGGTGGCGCCTAGACTATTTTTAACCCWTACTCTAGTCTGGGACCAGCTGTGGCTCTGCAGGGCACAGGACAACACCTGCCATCTACCCTCAGCAAGAGCAGCTTTATCTGTTTTGTTTCTTTCCTGATATAACACTGTGTCTCCAGCATCCTGCCACGAAAACCTTTTGAAAATAATCCTGACAGGATGTTTCAAAAAGCCGGCATCTTCAGGCTCACTCAGAAAACTCTGCAAAGTACCTGGCACCTGAGAACGAGGGGCACACACTCCYCAGGAAATGTCATCTGTCTTAGCTTCCTTCATGTGACACATGCAGCTATAAGATGAGACTCTAAGTCCTTTTGTGCACCTCCAGAGCAAAGGGCAAGGTGAGACCCCCCCYCTTTTAAAAGACCTAAGCCAGCACATATAGGTTGCAGCTGGCAACTTCAGATCCCAGGACTGCCCCGGGGACCCACCCGGGCAGCCTAGGATGAGTGACAGGCGGGGAGGCGGGGAAGCGTGCCTGACCTCAGCCGTCACTGCTCTACACCAGTTTTCTAACAAAATGTGAAAATATTCTCTCGATGAGATCCTAGGTGGCCTGGTGTGGTGGGCTGGACAGTGGCCTCCAAAGGCCATACCCACGTCCTAGCCCCTGGAACCTGTGGACACGACCTTGTTTGGAATAAGTCTTGGCAGAGGAATGGAGCTAAAGATCCTTGAGTTGGAAGGTCATCCTGGATTAGCCAGGTGGGCCCTGAGTCCAGAGAGAAGTACCTCCACAAGAAAGAGAAGGCCGGTGAAGACAGGGGCAGCCATCAGGATTGCCGAGCCCCCAGGAGCTGAGGAGGCAGGAAGGAGCTCCGTAGAGCCTCAGGGGAGCCCAGTCTGCCAGGCCTTGGCTTTGGACTGCGCCCGCTAACACTGTGAGGGAACAGATTCCCGCTGTTTGAGGCCACCCAGCTCCTGGTGTTTTGTCACTGAGCATGGAACACGAAGGTGCCTACATAGTGAGTTCTTTCTGTGCTTCGTCCTTCCTGCTCCCATCTCCAGYCAGGGCGGTAAGCAAGCCTGTGTTGAACCTCCTTTGTGTGATTCAAAACATTCCCTTCTGGTAAAAGGAAAGCACACGGACCCTGAGGAGATTTCAACTGTGTGTGGTGCACGCCCGTCACCCCAGGGACTCAGCAAGCTGGTGTAGGAGGATCACATGTTTGCKGCCAGCACTGGCAACTTARTGAGACACTGTCTCAATAAATAAATAAATAAACAAAGGAATGAATAAATAGGCTGGGGTTGTAGCTCAGGAGTAGAGCTTGCCTAGCACATGTAAGATCCTGGGTTCGATCCCCAGCACTACAGGGAAAAAAAGCCTCAGAACTACCTGTGATGGTGAATGACACCATCTCCACGTGCCCGCCATCTGGGGTTACTGATTAATTAAAGCTCTAGTTGTGTCTCACCAGTTGGCCTGGCAAAATTGGTAGTCGCGGCTTATCCTGCCTCATTTATATGTTGAGGCTGTTGAAATCGCCACCATATCCACATGAGGTCCTGTCCGTGGCGTTTCATTGAGTGGAGGTGCTAAAATTGTTAACCAAGGGCTGTATTCAGGCTTATGTCTGACAAGGCCACAGTGAACGTCCTTGCCGGCACTGACATGCTTGTGTCACTGTGTGGTGCTTTGGGGTAACGGGTGTAGGTACATGGTCTCCCCAACGATCACCACCCATTCTCCCAAGGAGACAMACCAATTTGCCTCCTGTTTTCCTCATAACAGGAGGTCCTCCAGATGCTTAAAAGAATGTGTGTCCTCTCAAATAGCCCAGACTCTCTGAAAAAACAGCTTTTTTTGGTAAAMACAGGTACTCACGGCTCAGACTCCCACCAGGAGCCTGGAGCCCTAGGCTGCCCCCTTTTGACTCTTCCTGAGCACCTCCCCACCTGAGCACCTCGTGCAAACAGCTTCGTGGGTTCCTGTGGCCCCTGAGACATTCTAAGGACAATGGCAGCCACCATGCAACTGTGACTGGGGTAGTGGTGGCTGGCCTGTCCCTCTCCCTCCCTTCACTCTTGCCCCCACAGTCTACTCTCCAGAAGGCAGCCAGAGTGCAAGTTCCAGTGGACAGTCCAAACAGTCCAGTAGGTTCCCAGCTCATGCAGAGTAAGATCCACAATCCCCGTCATGGCCCCCACAGCCCTGGAACCTGTCCGTCAGCTGTCCCTCCAACCTCAGGTTCCACAGCACATGCTGCACTCTAGCTGGAGCCCCGGACATTCCTAGGTGATGAAGGGAGGACGAGGGCAGGTGACTAGGGACACCAGTGCCTGGGGTGAGGGGATGAGGGGACTGGGCTGGTAATGGCAGCGGGAATGGACAGGTATATTCTGCTTCCATGTTCCTGCAAAGGCTCAGGCCTCCTGCACAGGCCATCTCCCCTCTTCCCGAATCTGGCTTTGCCAGTCCACTGTGGAGGGACCGGCACCAGCCTTCTTCTCCAGAACCAACTGCCCAACTGGAGAGGTTTTAATTTTAAGGTCCACGTAACTGACCCTATCAACCACCAGCTTCCAAGTACCAGGAAGACCCCCTTAACGATAACGGCCCTTATCCTTAGGTGTCAGCTGGCCCACACAGGGCTTGGTCTGGATCGGTCTGACTCTCTGGCAACTGCGCTTCCTGTCTGCTCTCTGATCAAGGCTTCCTGAGACCCCTTGGGCCCGAGACTCCACCAGCTCCTGGGTGAAGGCAGCTCCCTCCTGACTCAGGCCCACCCTCCTGTTCTTACTTCCTCATTTACTTATTTATTTATGTTTGGTCCTGGGGATGGCACCTGGGGCCTCATGCACCCCACATGTGTGTGCTACCAGTGGGCGAYGCCCAGCCTGCGCCCTGCCTATCTGGGTGGCAGGCTGTAGGCAGGGTCTCCTGGCGCTGGTCAGCATCAGAGCTGGAGCTCTCGGAGGCCAGCTTCCGGCCCTGGGACAGACAGGGAGACCCGTGGCTTCTCAGAGGGTGGGCTGTACCGGAAGCCGCTCTCCTGGGTTTCTGTGGCACTGCACCCTGTGGGTTCTCTGCAGGCCCCTCTATTGATTTCTGTCCTTCGTGGGGGGTCCTTCTTCTTTCCTGCCTGTTTGACAAGCTGGGGAACCCTGTCCTGGGCCCACTCCCTCCCTCCCTCCCTCCCTCCCTCCCTCCCTCCCTCCTTCCACAAACTTCCGTGGGTGTCAGTCACCACTGCTGTGCCCATGTCCTCCGAGCTCATTAGTACTAGGTGACAAAAAAGCTGGCTGGTGGTGACTGCCCTCCAGCTGGACCCACCTTCAGATGCCCCCCAGGGCTCCCGGCTCACACCTGCAGTGACGTCCCCTCTAGCCCCCTTGGCACGGTTTGAAACGCCCACCCAATCCTGTAACCACACGGGCACCCGCCCTTCCTGTTCCAGGTTCATGCCCGGCAGGTGGCACTTACTCCCAGGTACTCCGTCGTCAGAAGCTTCTCTCCTGAGAGTTCTCCCAGCTGGGGTTGGATCAGTTCGTCTTTGTCCAGATCAGCTTCCATGGTGTCGTGGTCCTCCTGCGTCAAACAGAGGGGTGAGCGCTGTGGACACCCTGCCTCCGGCCCCAGGGGGTGGCTCCCCACAGCATTAGCCCAACACGGCAACTCGTGGGTCCCGTTCACAGGCCTCAGGCCCATCTGCCCTCTCTGTGGAGATGGGTGGGGAGGCCAGAGAGCCCAGGGATCCGGCGGGGCGAGCACTTCCCGGGGGTAGTGTGAAGAGGCCCAACATGGCACTGCAGCCTCTCTCAGCCAGGGTCCTCGGGTTCCTCTCCGCAGCCAAGGTCCCAGGGCAGTGGCCAAACCAGTCAATCTACAACCAGTGTCAAGCACTTTCACATGCACAGGCCTCGTGGGGGCTACAGACGTATGGGACAGCTTTGTTCTCCTCAAGTCGGTCACGGTCACCAAGAAGACAGTACGCGGGGCTCAGGCAAAGAATGTCATCCTGTAGAAACGTCTCCATAAGATGAACACGTTGTGTCAGCACTGTGGCTCCAGGCCTGCCACCTTCAGATCTCGCCCTGCGCAGATGCAGGGGACTGCCCAGCACAAGAGGCCAGGCTGGAAGGTGAAAGGCCACTGGTAGAGTGAGACGTCTAAAAATCGCACTGCCCAGATTCAGACATGGCCTCTGAGGAAGGACGCTGCCTCCACCCAGGAGGGCAGCTGTGAGGCACCAGCGGCTGAGGATGGCCGTCAGCCACGCAGTACGTGTTCTCACGGACGAGGAGAGAAGAAGCGAGGAGGAGAGGGAAGGAGAAGGGCCGTTTAGCTTCAAGGAAGATGCAGTGGACCTGTCTCCCTCCTCCTCCCGCCAAGTCAACTAAAACACTGGCCACTACACATCCACAGAAGACCCTGAACATGGAGAAGGAGGCAGACCAGCGAGGGACTCTGGGACCCCAGGAGTGACAGAGATGAGGGCTTTGGTTTTCTTCTTGCCTCATCCACGTCAGACTTGGAGCTAAAGAAGCCAGCAATCAGGAATGCCAAGGAAGACAAAAACGTCCCTCTAGCCCAGGGACCAGGAAAACGGGAATCGGACGTGAAAAAAACACCRTAGAAAGTAACCAACACTGTAGTCCCACCCCCAACCAAGCCTGCAAGGGCCTGGGGATCCTCATCTTCCGCCCTCACTGTGGTAAGGCACCCCACACCTCCAGGGGGGGCACCAGAGAAGCCGAGCAGGAAAGACTCCGACCCTGCTGGGCAGTAATGAAGCCCTCATGCCCAGTGCGGGCCCCTTCCTGTACCTGACAGTAAGTGGTTTCTCTCCATCTTCCTGCTGGGAGAAAAGGCCAYGTTGGGGACCAAGTGGGGACCCAGAACTCCTGCCCCCATTCTAAAGTAATGAGGGAACCCCACCTTCCAATATGGAACCTGGAATTCTACCCACACCTTTCATTAAGGAAGGGGTCTGTGCGTTAGTGACAAGGGAGCGTCAGAAGAAACCAGCTAAAACAGAAGTTCAAATAAGATCCAACACCTTACAATACCCCAAATGTCCAGGTTGAAACTTAAGACAAATCCCTCATCACATCAAGAACCAGGGAGATCGCTAATCAAACGGAGAGAGAATCCCTAGATGCCAATGTTAGGTGACAGAGATATCAGAACTATCTGACATAAACGTTCACGCAGCTATCATAAAAAACACGCTTCCATGAATAATCACAAATGCTCTTGAAACAAAAGGCTCAAGAATACAGAAAAAGAAGAGAAAAATAAAACCAAAGCAAGCAAATGGAAGAACATAATAAAGGGCAGAAGGAAGAGAAGAAAAACAGAAAAGCAACAGAGAACATGGATGAAGAAAAGAGCTGGTACTTTTATTTAGGATTAATGAAATTGACAAGACTGCCAAAGAAAAAGTCAAGACACAAATTACCAGTGTCAGGAAAGAAACAGGGGCTGTCAATACAGACCTGCAGATATCAAAGGGATCATCGGGAATTCCCACAAACAACTCTACACACAAAGTTTGAGGACTTAGAGCAAAACCACAAACTCTTCCACAAGTTTCTCAACATGGAGCCAATAATGTGCACAGTGCTAGGAACATTAAGGAAATTGGACTCATAACTTGAAAATGCTTGTAAAAGAAATCTCCAGGCCTGTGTGGATTCACTTGAGAATTTTATCAAACTTTTAAAGTAATACCAAGTCAAATAACCAAAGGAAGAGACGTTTCTTACTTCATTTTATGAAGCTAGTATTACCCCGGTACCAAAATCAGAGAGAGGTAATACCAAAAAAGAAAAGCACAAACACCCCTCATGAATATAGCACAGAAGTCCTTAACAAATAAGGCAATATATTCATAGAATTCTATCCCATGACCAGGTACAGTTTGCTCCCATGATGCAAGAGTGGTCCATATGTAAAACTTCATCCCTGTAACCCACAATATTAACAGACTTATACAGGAAAAACAAATCACATGATCAGCTGGACACAGTGGCGCATGCCTGTAATCCCAACAACTCTGGAGGCTGAGGCAGGAGGATTGCAAGTTAGAGGCCAGCCTGGGTTACGTAGCAAGACCCTATCTCAAAAAACAGACAATCAAAAGGGTTGGGGGTGGCTCAGTGGTAGAAAGCCCTTGGGTTCAATCCTCAGTGAAGGAGGAGGAGAAGAAGGAAGGGGTGGAGGGAGAGGAGGAGGAGAAGCATCACATGATCATATTAATGGGTGATCAGAGTATTTGACAAAACTCAACGCCCACCAGACAGAAACCCAGAAAATCAGACAAGTGGGAGACTTGATTAAGAACATTTACAAAAGCCCTACAGCAAAATGGTACTTAGCAAGGAGAGACTGGACGCTTTCCATCTAAGACCGGGAACAAGGCAGGATCTCTACTCTCACAGCTCTTAGTCAACATGGTGCTTGGAGCTYCAGCCAGACCAATGAGGTTGAGAAGGAACAAAAGGCACAGATCAGAAAGCAAAAACAGAACTGAYCCTATCTGCAGATGACATAACTGTCTATGCAGAAAATCCTACAGAATCTTTAAAATATGTCTGTTGTGCATATGTGTATATATAAAATATTATTTTCTCCTAGAACTTATGATTGAGTTCAGCAAGGTCACAGAATATAAGGTAGACATATAGAACCCAATTTCCTTCTTACTTTTTCTTTTCTTACAGTGCTGAAGATCGAACTTAACATCTCAGCATGCTAGGCTAGTGTTGTACCACTGAGCCACATCCACAGCTCCAATTTCTATATGTAACTAATAAACAGGTAGACACTGAAATTAAAAACACCACTTACAACTACACAAAAATAAAGGATTATCTAGGTATAAATCTGACAAATCACTACAGGAGGTATATGCTGAGAACTACAAAACTAATGAAATCACTGAATATCTAAGTAAACGGAGACACACACTTTGTTCATGAATCATGAGACTTGACATAGTTAAGATGCTAATTCTCCCCCAGATTGATATACAGGTTCAGCTCAATTTCTATCAAAATCATATGAAGACTTTTTTGTAGCCATATACAAGATTATTCTAAAATTTATATGGAAAGGGCAAAGGAGTTCGAATCGGCTAAGACAATTTTGGAAAACAAGAACAATATATAAGAAATCATACTATCTAATTCCAAGATTTACTATATAGCCACAGTAATTCAGATTGTGTGCTATCGGCAGAGAGAGAGAAAAATAGATCAACGGGAGAAAGAACTCTGAAACAGACCTACACAAATATTCTCAGTAGATTTTTTTTGAGTTGGAATCTCGCTGTGTTGCTCACACTGGTCTTGAACTTCTGGATTTACATGATCCTCCTGCCCCAGCCTCCTGAGCAGCTGGGACCACTCTGCCCAGCTTCTTCCCCACTGTTTTTTGACAAGGGTACAAAGTAATTATGACGCAAATAGTTGTTATACTGGCCGACAGAACAGGACACATGGTGATGGGGGAAGTGTGTGGTACTCTTCCTGACTCCCTGCCAAGTCTTGCTTCAACACCAAGTTGTCCTCTGTGGGTTAAGTTATGAAAAGCAGCACACAGCAGCCCAGACTGGGGTCTGCGCTGAGGCTGAAGGGAGCCACTGGCCCTGGGAGCGAGCAAGGGGAGAGGGCTCCTGGGGGAATATGGCAGCCAACTGCTGCCCCAGGGTGGAGCCCAGGCTGCCCATCACCTTCTTGTGACATGTTCCCTGAGAAATGCTAACCAACCTTTCTCTGATTCCTGGCACACTCAACAAGTAGAATTTGGTTCCTCTAAACATTCTAATTTTCAAGAAAGCACGATTCTGCAAACATGAGCACCTGTGCTCATTTAATACGAATTTCTGATCATTGTGGATGCGATGGTCTTTGGTTCAGTTCCCAAGGGTATGAAGTTCACACACCTGGGCCCAGGACTGGGCTGGGAGCTGGGCCCTGGAATGCCAGGCTGTCTGGTTAGGGCTGCTGTAGGGGGGCAGCCCCAGTCTTCAGGCTGTGGGTACCACACCTGCCATCATAGACATGGCCATCTCAAGACATGCTACCTTAAGAAAAGGAGACATACTTATTCTAGGTGGCCCCCAAGGCAGGCCAGAAGCAGCAGACGGAGACGGGTTCTAGATCCACCGAGACCCTGTCACGGCCATCGGCACTGGCACTGCCTCAGTCATGAAACAGCCTGCAGAGGGACATCACAGTCACCAAAGACCAGGGCACCCCGCCTGGCAGGCGGCACACTCGCCTATTAAACCATTAAGGAAGGCGCCCCCTATCCTTACCCTTCCCGGTGACTCGCTGTGGATTCCTTTGATCAATGCTGCTTTCCTTAGGAGGAAACCACAGCCTGGAGAACAACAATCCCACTGCAATGGTCCAGCCTCAAGGCTGAGCCTGGCCTTCAAGCTCGGCAGCCCCTTTTTGCCCAGGTCTTTCTGACCTGGCCCCTTGGGGCCCTGCAGGAGAAGCCTGTTTCTGAGGAGACACAGGTAGGCCTGCCCAGGTCTTCTGAGGACCCAGGGTCCGCGGTGTCTGGTTGCAACTGAG